TGAAAATTGGCGCGCAGGGGCATTCCAGGCTCGGCATCGATAGCTGGGCCAAGTACTGGTGGTTTAAACGGATACCTTCGGCTAGACTCCTTTTTTTTTTTTTTTTTTTTTTTTTGAGGCTAAACTCGGAAATCTAGCCTGGCTACAGTCACATCGCATAGTACCCATGGCTTCCTGCAGTGGCTATCTTCAAACAGGTGCATGCCGCTGGACACACAACTTGAATGCCAAAGATGCAGAAGATTGGAGGAAACTGCTACACACCTCTGGTGGGGGTGCGTAGAATCCAAGAGGATTTGGACCTGGTGGGCCAAGCTCTGGCTCAAACACCTGGAAGACCAGCCTGAGGTGCCGTGGGAAGAGTAGTTTGTAGTTGAAGGCGTACTGCTTTTCTTTTTTTTTTTCTTTTTCTTAAACTCCCTTCGGACTACAAGGGGTGCTGATATGAGCAGACGCCGCTGGTATCGTGGGGGAGGCTCCGACGAAGTGGATAAATAAAGGGGGGTCCTATTTTGCAACCGCGTGTAGAGCAGCGCTCATGCAGGTTATTTGGAAAATCAAGAACGCTAGAATCTTCAGAGCAAAGTTTTTTTTTTTTTTTTTTTTTTTTTTTGTGAAACGCAGACGCCCAGTGCCCAAGGCTCAAAGTTCTATTCTGACATCATCGTTATGATTCAGAATATATTGGTTCTTGAAGGTGTTCGCTCCCAGGGCCTGGGACCAAGTCCCACTAGCAGCGTTGAGCTACCTCAACGCCTGCATCTGGACGTTTTTGTGGAGACGTGCAGTTCAGGAAACGTAACACCATTTCTGCACATCTCCGCAAAAGCGTCCAGATTCAGGCGTTGAGGTAGCTCAACGCTGCTAGTGGGACTTGGCCCCTGCTGTGGGCTGATTGCAGACGGACAAGAAGAGCTCGATCCAAAAACTTTAAGGCATCAAGAGAACAGTTCTCCTGAACCTGGGGTCCCGGGAACAAGTCCTACTTGCCGGAAATCTGCATTTCTGACCATAGATTATGCCCATCAATGGCCGAAAATGAAGGATCTTATGAAGTGGGACTTGGCCCCCGGAGTGTCAGATATCTGAAAATGAAAGCAGCAGGCATTGTTCTGGATGTGTTATTATGTAATGATGGATTACCAAAAATAAGTCGAATTCTCAAATTACGAAAACAATCCAAAACTCAAAAATTGAGTAGTGATTTAGCTAAATACGATGCGGCCCCTGGTTTTGCGATGCGGTTGTTAAAGAATGTTTAAACACAAGTATAGTTTATTTGTGTTCTGAGTCAAGTGTGTCTGGAGCATCTATGGCAACACGAGAACAACCATAAGACAGATAGAATTCAATGTGATCGAATTGATGATTCACTCACTGAACTGGTGCGCTTTTTTCCGATTTATTCGATTCGGTCCGAGGCCGCCGTGAGTGTTTTTTTTTTAAAACACAGGAAAGAGTCAGGCCCATCTGTGAGATGTGAGGGTTGTTTCCAGGAGAGGCAAACACGAGTATGAGATTGAAAAGGCAATCAAACCAACAACGAATCGGCGCGTCAGACCTTAAACCCTAAACCCTAGAGTTAACAGCGAACAGTCAATGAACATCCACGTGACGAGAGCAAAAAAAACAGTTTAAAACACCCACGAGCAAACCGGCCTACCCCCCCCCCCCCCCCAGTTGGAACACCCAAATGATGTCATGAGCTGATGAAAATTGAAATACAGAACCAGGTTCGAATCCAGACTTTTTTTTAGTTTTTAGTTTTTTTTTTTTTTTTTTTTTAATTTTAGGCTCCATCTATTGGTGGGGAGCATCACCTGCTGGAAAACGGGTCCAGCGTCCCTTGTAATCCAGCTTCGATCAATCTGTCTAGTATCCCACCTCTACAACGACCTGGGCTTAAAATAATAAAAAAAAAAAGAAAAAAAAAAGCATAATATAGATTTCAATAATATCTTATTTAAATATTAGAGAAAACTACCGTGCAGTCAGGGTTTGAGTTTGAAAATGCACTTGAGGCGAAAGGGCTGGTAATGATGAATGACACTGAATGTATATAACCAAGCATTCGGGACAGGTGGGCGCACGTGGGGGTGTATTGTGTTCGCGGGATTGCCTGAAGTGCATTTTCAAACTATTTTCGTGACTGCGCCGAAGTTACCCCTAAATACTATCATAATCATTCAAGACTGACTACCACCTATCCACTTCCCACAAACAAACAGCTGGCGTCCTCATATCCCGCATGTGGCTCGCCAGTTGGCCCAAGTACAGCTACAAAAATGGCCATGCCTATTATTCCCCGGACAAATGGTTCCGTACGTAACCTTACGTTAAACCACCAGTACTTGCCCCAGCTATCGTTGCCGAGCCTGGAATCCCCCAGTGCGCCAATTTTTGCCGAAGCGGCAGGGTACCGTTTCAATTTTTTTTGGCTGGCGCTTCCAGCCATTGAGGTCCGGTACCCCAAAGCCCGAACTTTGCATAGCATTAACGGCAACGGTCCGCGGCCGATGTATGGGCCAAGTACTGGTGGTTTAAGGTAATGGGTACCAACGGGCATCCCAGTAGCTTAGTTGGTGTACCCATGTAACTGTTGCTCGCAGCCCCTCTCAGGGGTACTAAGGGTGCCGCCTGTGGGACCGTAAAGGGGTACTAAGGGTACCGTGAAGGGGTACTAAGGGTACTTACGGTGCGGGATGGTATTAGCCATTAACCCTGGGATGAGGTGGGATGGTACCTGCTCTCTTGAGCTGAAATGCCAACTGCCCCCCTATCTAGAACGTGTACAACCTCAAAAAA